CCACCTCCACCCCACCTCCCATCCCACTCCGTTGGCCAGGGGGGTAGTTACCTGTGGGGTGGCCTGCACGGCCAGGGGGGTGGCCACCGTCTGGGGCTGTTGGCTAGTGGAGTGGCCGAAGGTGCCAAGGGGGGAGACGGTGCTGGGGGACGCTCCGGTGGCCACTTTGGCTTTTCCTGTGGAAAGGGCAGAGAGAGGGGGAGTTGGAGAGAGATGGTGCCAGAGGGAGCCATAGCGGCAAAGGATGGGGGATAAAAAGGGGGGGGCACCCCAATTACGGGGGTCCCCGAGGAGGTGCAGCCCCACGGAGCCGGCGTGAAACCCTCACGGGCATCCTCGGGGGCAGGACCCCACCAAAAGTGGGGTCACTGCCCACATTATGGGGCGCAGGGGAAGGGATTTTGGGGGGGCTGGTTTAGGGAGGAGGCAAAAGGAGGGAGAATTTGGGTGGTTTTGGGGGGGACTAAGCGTGGGAAATGGGGGGGTTCCAGGGATAGCGCTTTGCTGGGCTGCAGGTGCCCCCCTGGGGCTGCCGGATCCAGCGGGAGGGATTTTCCTCCCCCCCCTCAATTAGCAGTAATTAAAGTGGTGTGGGCCCCCCAGCTGCTCCCCCCGGGGATGGGGGGGGCTGGAAGAGGGAAGGGACCGAGGTCGCCTGGCAGAAAGGGGGGGGGGGCCCTGTGGGCTGAGCTCCGTGGGGTGTCAGGGACCCCCCGCCCAAATTTACAGAATATTCTAATACATTATAGTGTAATATAACATAAAATACAGAATATTCTAATAAAATATTCTGATTTCTTAGTTATCTGATTTCTCAGTTATCCTGACCATCCGAGCAAGAGCAAACCTTGCTCCTAATCCCTATTTATTAGGGGCAAAATTAATTACTGGGCTTTTGAGCAGCCCCTTGTGTTTATTCAGCTCCACTTCTACTAAAGGCAACCCCTAAGTATAAAATCCACTTAAACCCTCTTCTATTTTTGTAAAAAAACACGTCCTTTTCCTGCCTTTGGCAAAAAAAAACCCACCCAACTTTTACCAAATAAATACTTTTTTCAGCTTTTTTTTCCCCAGAGCCAGATGTTTCTCGGGTCTGGTTCCTCACCCAGAAATAACTACAGGTCTCGAAGACTTAAAAAAGGCCTTTTTTGGATGATTTTGGTTTTAAAAATTTCCTACCGAACCCCGATCAGAGGTAACACCCAGCTTTTCCCAAATCCCAGAGACTGTGCTCCAGGCCACTCCTGATGGGATTTTCCTCCCCTCCCTACGGCAGCAGGACTGGAGTGTCCCCCGGAGTGTCCCCCCTCAAGGGACACTCGCCTCTTCCTCCTCCTCCGCCTCCTCCTCCTCTTACCAACTGGCCCCCAAGGAGCCACGATCCCTTTTGGGGATGGGAGAGGGGATGGGAGAGAGGATGGGAGAGGGGATGGGAGAGGGAATGGAACAGGGGATGGGAGAGGATGGGAGCGGGGATGGGAGAGGGGATGGGAGAGGATGGAATAGGGGATGGGAGAGGGGACGGGACAGGGACAGAGGGAATGGGAGAGGGGATGGGAAAGGGGATGGGAGAGGATGGGAGAGGGGATGAAAGAGGGGATGGGAGAGGGACAGAGGGGATGGGAGAAAGGCTGGAATAGGAGATGGGAAAGGGGATGGGAGAGGATGGGAGAGGGGATGAAAGAGGGGATGGGAGAGGGACAGAGGGGATGGGAGAAAGGCTGGAATAGGAGATGGGAAAGGGGATGGGAGAGGATGGGAGAGGGGATGAAAGAGGGATGGGAGAGAGGATGGGAGAGAGGCGCTTGGAGGCTGATTCAGGATGGATCCACAGGGGGATGGGGCCGGTGGCCAAAAAGCAGTGAGGAGTAAAGCGGGATTTCCCCGAAAGGCTTTTAAAAGCAGCCAAGGAATAACGCAGGATCTTCCCAGAGGCTTTCTCCAGAGCTGGATCCCCGTGGAAAAAGGGGTGCACCCAGCTCAGCACCCCAGGGGCGAGAGGAATCCCAAACCCCTGCTCTACGTGGCCGCAGGAAAATCGAGCTCCCTGGAAAAAACATCTCATGGGTGAACGTCCTCCACGCGTTTGAGGGCTCTCCTGGAGGCAGGATGTTCTTCCCCATCACCTCCCACAGAAGTAACTGTTTTTGGTGACGCCTAAACTGGGGAGGGGGATGGTCCGGAGCGGGGGGTGTGAGACTGAGGATGGGCACAGCTCATCCTCCCAACTCCGACCCAGAGCTCCAGGGCACAACTTGGCTTCCAGGGATGGAGGGAGCAGGGCCAGGGAATGAGTCCCAGGGAAGGGAGATGTCTCACCGGCCGTCTCCACACTGCAGGAGCTCTGGGTGCTGGGTGGGATGTCCTCTGTGCCCGGGGGGGTGGTTTCTCCCGGGGAGCCCCGTGCTACCTCCCCTGGTGGCATCCCCGGGGCTTTCCGGTCCTCCTCGGCCGGGAGCGGGGCGTCCACGCCGACCTCCAGCACCCGGATGGTTTCGTGGCTGGACATGACAATAACCTGCAAATACACCCCCAAAACATCCGTCAGCTCCACAAGCCCCACGGGGGTGTCCCCTGGAGGCCACACACCCCAGGGCAGGGCGAAGCAGCTCCCCCCACCCCACAGGACATGTTTTGGGGTGACCCTTTAAAGAAGCCAAGCAGAGCCCACGCTGTCCCCTCAAAGAGGGGTGGGACGGGGGGGTGGTAGCCCCCCTAAGCCCTCGCTGCCTTAATTAATCAGGAGTTTCTGGGCTCTGCTAAGCCCAGCTCCACCTGTGTTGGTGGGTGATGTCACCAGGAGGTAAGAGATGGCTGTTGGTGGCCACAGTGGCTCTGGTAGAGGGCCAGCACTGTATCAGCAGCTCTAGAGTGAGCTCTGAGCCACAGCCCCGGGGTTAGGTGAACCCTCTGGATCACGACAGGATCTCCCCTGTGTGACATCCCTTGGGGACACACAGGGAGCGAGGAGCAGAGGTACCAGCTCCTCCTTCTCCAGCTCTCCAGTGGCCACAGGCAACCAAACCCCGTAGCAAAGGTCTCCTGCAAATAGCACCCACCACCTCACCGGGATGGGGACCACGTGACTCCTCTTCATCATTAAAAACTACCCGAGATAAGGCCACCGAGCTCCAAAAGATGGATCAAAAGCCACCCGAGAGGAGGCCACCGAGCTCCAAAAGATGGAGCTGAACATCTCCATGCCCAAGCCTGGGGGCAAACGGGCTGGTTGTGAGCGTGGGGCAGGCACAAGGGGGGGGTTTTCACCCCATGCAGTGGGGCTCAGGGTGTTGCTGAACCCCAACTCCCCACTCTTGCCCCCCCCGGGTTGTGGGGTGCTGTGGGGTGGGGAGGGAGCCGGCGATGGCCGTACCTGCTCGTTGACCGTCAGCGGAGCCTCCTGGGGCTGCACGGCTTCCGTGTCCATGGTGTCCCAGAGAAGGTGGGAGATGGCTCAGACCTTCCACATGCTGCAAACGGGGGGACACGAGAGGGTCTGTCACCCTGGGGGGGGTCACACGCTGCTTTGACCAAACCTGGTCACCCCCCTGGCTCCATCACCCACCTCTCCCTCCACCCTCCCCGTGGTGGGGATTTGGGGCAGCCCAGAGCTTCCTAACGCCCTCCTGCCCCACACTGCTCCTCCCCAGGGGGGGCTTTGGTGTCTGGAGTACCCCCACCACCTCCCATCCTCTCAGCAAAGATGCCACGGACGTGGGGCAGCCTAATTTATCAGGTGAGCATCAAATCTACAAGAAGCAGAGCACGGGGAGGGTGATTCCAAGAGCCAAGTCTTTCCCCTTCTTCTCTCCCGTTGGGAGATGAGGATGCAACTCCTAAAGCGGCTTTAAAAACCCTAAAAAACAGGGAAAAACCCACATGAAACTGCCCAGAGATGGTCCCCAAATTCTCCTGTGTGACACTTGGTGGCCCTCCCAAGCCCTCGACGCCGAGGAGAGTCAACCTGCTCTTTCCCGAGGGGACCTAAATCGCTGGGGACACTTCACGGAGCTGCTGAGAGGAGTCCGTGATGGAGGGAAGGGGCTGGTCCCACCCGTTGGAAACCAACTCTTCCTCTTCCAACGCCTTTGGGTGACTTGTTTGGTCACGTATTGTCCCCCCCTCGCCACCTTCCAGAAGGGGAATTGCCTTTACAAGAGGCTTATGGATTTTTTATTAGGGACATCTCGGGGACATCCGTTAAGCAGCCGGCCCAGGGTGACATTCCCAACCACCCCAGGTGTGTGCCAAGGTCTCCTTGTTGGGGGAACTGCTCAGGAGCCCAGGGCATGTGGATGCTCTGGGAGATGCAGCCAGACCTCAGCTTGCCCCAAGGTGTCCCAAAATGCCCATCACAGAACCCCAGAATGGAAGGGACCTCTGGAGACCATCTACTCCAACCCCCTGCCAAAGCAGGTCCCACCTAGAAAAGGTCCCACAAGAACATATCCAGGGGGGTTTTGAATGTCTCCAGAGAAGGAGACCCCACCACCTCTCTGGGCAGCCTCTTCCAGGGCTCTGAAGAGCTGGGCAGAGAGGAACCCCATGAACTTCAACCAGGGCAAGTGCAGGGTGCTGCACCTGGGGAGGAATAACCCCCCAAACCAGGACAGCTTGGGGGTGACCTGCTGGAAACCAGCTCTGAGATAAAAGACCTGAGAGTCCTGGTGGACACCAGGATGCCCAGGAGCCAGCAATGTGGTGGCCAAGAAGGCCAATGGCATCCTGGGGGGCATCAGGAAGAGCGTGGAGAACCTCAAGGGAGGTCATCCTGCCCCTCTGCTCTGCCCTGGGGTGGCTCCAGCTGGAGCACTGGGACCAGTTCTTGGCTCCCCAGTTCCAGAAGGACAGGGAACTGCTGGAGAGGGGACAGCAGAGGCTACGAGGATGATGAGGGACCTGGAGCATCTCTCTGATGAGGAAAGGCTGAGGGACTTGGGGCTTTTTGGTCTGGAGAAGACTGAGGGGGGATCTGACCAACTTAAAATCTGACCAACTTAAAAAAGAAATACTTAAAGGGTGGGTGTCAGGAGGATGGGCCCAGTCTTCTTCCAGTGGTGCCCAGTGACAGGACAAGAGGAAATGGGCACAAACTTGAGTACAAGAAGTTCCACTTAAACATGAGGAGGAACTTCTTGAGTTTGAGGGTGGCAGAGCCCTGGAAGAGGCTGCCCAGAGAGGTGGTGGTCTCTCCTTCTCTGGAGACATTCAAACCCCCCTTGGACACGTTCCTGTGCAACCTGCTCTGGGTGGGACTTGCTTTGGGGAGGGGGGGTTGGACTGGATGATCTCCAGAGGTCCCTTCCAACCCCATATGATTCTACGAGCATCAGGTCATAAATCGTCGTCGGGATTGCCAGGTCTCCTTGCCCAGCTCGAGGAGGTGGCAACCACCCCAGATCTGGCAAAAAAGAAGTATGTTCTAAATGGGTTTTTTGACCTAAAAACGGAGATCCGAGGTGGCAAGAGGGATCTGGCAGCACAGGGAGCTTCATCCAGCCAGTCGTTTCCAGTGGTGCCCAGTGACAGGACAAGAGGGAACGGCCACAAACTGGGACATTAGAAGTTCCATCTCAACATGAGGAGGAACTTGATCTCCATGAATTTTGAAGCCCGGCTTTAGCTCCAGCACAGCCGAACACCGTGGGACGCCGGCGCAGCCTTTAATTAACAATTTATTCTGGTGCAATGGAGAAGAGAGCGAGGGACGAGCCGGTGGCTTCCACGGGCAGCGGGCGTCATTAAAAATTAATGAGTTCTCCATCAGCCAGAGTCCAGCAAAGAGCAAAAGGGGCATCTGTGCCACCCACAAGGGCCTGGAGAACCAGCAAAAGGAAGGTGGCAAAGCATCCCGCTGCCAGGAGAGCGAGGAAAAGGGAAGGAAAATGCTCCAGGGGAGTTTTCTGAACTTCTCAGGAGAGAATCCCGCATCTGGGAGGGCTGTTGGGGGAAGTGGGGGGAGATATGCCCCAGATCCTGCTGAATTCACCCCATGGGATGTCATTGATTCGCTCCAGGGAGCTCCTGTTTGTCATTTTATTGTCCCTCTGCGTGGCCGGACCCCAGCGGACCCCGGCACAAGCAGAGCAGCCCTTGGGGGTTTGCTAACGAGGAGCCAGTCCCTGGTGTGGGGCGGGGGGTTATTCCCACAGCTGGGACTGGGAGAGGTGGGAAAAGTCCTTCTTCTTGTCCCCGTCACCGTCCCCATCCCCGTCCCTGCCCCAGGGATCCCTCCCCCATGCCTGTCCCACGGGGGTCTTCATTAGAGCTAATCCGAAACTGGGATCCCAAACTGGCAGGAGAGGGCATGGTGGAGGAGAAGGGATGGCCAAGGGGCTGCTGAGGTTGGGGGGGGGACACCATTCCTGCCACCCCCCCAGCCAAGGGCACATTCATGACCCAAACCCATGGGATGGATTGGGGATGGGGAACAGGAGGGTTGCTGTGTGTAGCTGGAATCCCATGGGATGGCGGAGGCTGGGGGGATGGATCTATGGGGCGGCGTGGGGAGGGGAGGCAGCCCCCCCCCACCGGGTACTCACTCACTGTTTGCTCTGGGGTGAAAAGACCCTCCCAGGGCAGGAGATGAGGCTGGTGGCTGCGTCCTGCTCCTCCCGATGGGCTGCAGGGCCCCGGGATTCAGGCTGTGGGGAAAGAAAAACCAGAGCTGTGGGGTGGTCTAGGGAAAGAAAAAAACAAAAAAATACCCCAAAAACCCCAAAACAAAACAAAAAACCACCAAAAACCCACCTCCCCCCCCAAAAAAAACCCCAGAGCTATAGGGTGTTTAGGGAAAGAAAAGCCAGAGCTGTAGGTTTTTTTAGGGAAAGGAAAGCCAGAGCTGTGGGGTTTTTAGGGGAAAAAAAATCCCAGAGCTGTGGCTTTTTGTTTAGGGAAAGGAAAACCAGAGCTATAGGATTTTTTAGGGAGAGAAAACTCAGAGCTGTAGGGTTTTTTAGGGAAAGAGAAATCAGAGCTGTGGGGTCATTTAGGGAAAGAAAAAAAAAACTAAACCAAACAAAAAACCCAGAGCTATAGGGTTTTTAGGGAAAGGAAAACCAGAGCTTTGGGGTTTCTTAGGAAAAGGAAAACCAGAGCTAAAGGATTTTTTAGGGAGAGAAAACCCAGAGCTGTGAGTTTTTAATAGGGAAAGGAAAACCAGAGCTATAGGATTTTTTAGGGAAAGAAAACCCAGAACCATAGATTTTTTTAGGGAAAGGAAAACCAGAGTTATAGGACTTTTTAGAGAGAGAGAACCCAGAACTGTAGGGTTTTTTTAGGGAAAGGAAAAGCAGAGCCATCTTGGGTCCCAGTTGTGACGTTCCGAGTGGAGTTCTGAGGTTTGTCTCCCACAGCCCCCTCCAAGGACTTTGGTTGAGAGAGTTCGACATTTGCCCGTTCCCGAGCCCAGCCGAGGATTTCCCCCATTGGGCAAAGAGGAAAAAGAGACGAATTTATGGAAGCGCGAGACGGAAGGGATTGGGAATTGGTGCCGAGAAACACGGCGGGTGCCGTAGCGTCAACGTACGATGAGAGAGCCAGGAAAAGAAATGTTGTCCTGGGTGTTCCTCACCGAAAAACCCTCCCTGTCCCGGGGGAGGAAGAGGAGCAGAGCCCCTCAGCTGCCTCTTCCAGGTCTCCCGTCCCTTCCTCAACATCCTTTGTACCTTAATCTTCTCCGTTCCCTTCTCTGGGGCCACATCGAACGTGATTCGGGCAGAGAGTTGGGTCCTGCAGCCCTAGAGACGTTCAACACCTTCTTCATGAAGCTCATGATCATGTTCAGGGGATGGACTCGATGATCCCAAGGGTCTCTTCCAACCTGAATGATTCTACGATTCTATGATTCTATGTTAAATTTAATATTCCTTTCAGGGATAATCAAACCAAAGGTCTTGCTTTGAGCACCGCCACCTTGGAGAATCCGTACCCAAACCCTTTATCTCTTTATTCCTGGAATTTGTAGCCCAAACATCGTCCCGCCGCCGCACGACTCCCTCCTCCAGTTGCTTCTCCCCCCATTTCCCCCCACCACGAGGGGGGAGATGCTCTTCACCCAAGATGCTCTTCACCCAAGAGATAAACAAAAAAAACCAGCATTTTTGACCTTTTCCGTACAATTCCCGGAGAATTCTGCCTGCTCCCCCAAAAACCTCCAGCAGCAAGAGTCCCCCCATGCTCGTGGGGAGAGGGGACAACTCAAGAGCATCCCCAAGAGCTTTGGGAACTGGAGCTGAATTTCCAGCTGCCCCCAAAGCCTCTGACACCCAAAATTTAACGAATGTGTTGGGTTTTCTTGGAGTTTGACCACAAAACGGGGCACCAAATGCCACCCCAAACACCGGACCTCAGCGTTATCTGTCCCCATCCATCCCAGCCTGGGCTAAAAAGCCTCTCTGGGAGGAAGAGATTTATCCCAGCACGACCAGGGCTGGAAGAGGGCAATAATATCCCTGAAAGGGGCAATAAAATCCCATAAAGGGGCAGTAATATCTCTGAAAAGGGCAATAATATCCCTGGGGCAATAATATCCTTGAAAAGGGGCAATAACGTCCTGCAAAGGGCAGTTATATCCCTGAAAGGGGCAAGAATATCCCTGAAAGGGTAATAATATTCTGTAAGGGGGCAATAACATCCCAGCAAAGGGCAATAATATCCATGAAAGGGGCAATAAAATCCCATAAAGGGGCAGTAATATCTCTGAAAAGGGCAATAATACCTCTGAAAGGGGCAATAAAATCCCTGTAAGGGGGCAATTGCATCCCTGAAAGAGGTAATAATATCGTGCAAAGGGCAATAACATCCCTGTAAAGGGCAATAATATCCATGAAAGGGGCAATAAAATCCCATAAAGGGGCAGTAATATCTCTGAAAAGGGCAATAATACCTCTGAAAGGGGCAATAAAATCCCTGTAAGGGGGCAATTGCATCCCTGAAAGAGGTAATAATATCGTGCAAAGGGCAATAACATCCCTGTAAAGGGCAATAATATCCATGAAAGGGGCAATAACATCCCTGAAAAGGGCAATAATATCCATGAAAGGGGCAATAACATCCCATAAAGGGACAGTAACATCCCTGAAAAGGGTAATAAAACCCCTCCAAAGGGCAATAAAATCCCTTAAAGGGCAATAATACCCATGAAAAGGGCAATAATATCCCTGAAAGGGGCAATAACATCATGCAAAGGGCAATAATACCCATGAAAGGGGTAATAACATCCCTGCAAAGGGCAATAACATCCCTGCAAGGGGCAGTAACATCCCTGAAAAGGGTAATAATATCCATGAAAGGGGCAATAATATTCCATAAAGGGGCAGTAACATCCCTGAAAAGGGCAATAATATCCTTGAAAGGGGCAATAACATCTCTGAAAGGGGCAACAATACCCCCGAAAGGGGCAATAACACCCTCCTCCAGCCACTGCCTTTCTCCTCCCAGGCCTGTCCCGCGGGGGGAAGGCTGAGCCGCCGCCAAGAGCAGAACGAGAGTCGGGCTGCTTTTCCCTCTCCACCGCACGAAAGGCACCAATTAACAACCAGAGACGATTAACCAGACATTTCATAACGTCAGGCTCCACGCGGCGTGTTTGGGACGTCGGAGGGGGCTGCTTCTCCCCCCGGCAGACGTTCGGTGGGACCGTTTTCATTCCTTTTCTTCACACTTTTTTTTTTTTCCTCTTTTCTTGGGTTTTTCTTCTTTTTTTTTTTTCTTTTTTTTTTTGATGCAATTAATGGGACAAATAATTTGTCCAGATGGTGGTGTTAAGTGCACGCAGGGAGAAGACAGCCATTTCGCAACAGATGGCGACAAGGAAATGAAAAGCACAAAATAATAATAATACTACTAATATTAAAAAAAAAAAAAAAAAAAAAAGGAGGGGGGAAAGAAAAAAAAAAAAAGGATAATTTAAGCTCCTGCCAGTCTCGCGCGTTTATGGGGGGGGGGGGGGGGGATGAGTCAGAGATGTAGCCACTTGGATCCCGAGTGGGTGGAAAACGAAGTTTGAAGAAACTCACCCCAGGTGAGGGCCCCCCCCGTCCCTGAGAGGTTTCATTAAACCTGGTTGGACGTGACGACATCTCGCTAATTAGTCACTGTCGTTAGCCTGGATTAATTCCTTCGGAGGGCCACCCCAAGCCCAGCACCAAAAACACCACCTTCACGCAGAAAACCCCCCAAAATACCCCACTTTCTGCCCCGTGGTGGCTTTTCACGCTCACACCCCAAGTGTGCAAATGCACGAGGAGGTGCAGACCCCCCTAAAACCTCCTGGAGAAGCTGTCACCGAGGCGGAGGGGACAGGTCCTGGGGAGGACAGGGGGTCCCACTCCCTGGAACTGAAGCATCCCTCACCATGGTCTGGGGGGGGTGTTGAATTTTTCACCCCCTTTGGAGCAGAAAAATCCAGGCTGGAAACTTTCAAAGCACTTTTGGAGGTGTCACGGGGAGGGGGATTGAACCCAGGGACACCCAAGCAGTTTGCAAGGGTTTCCCCCCCACCCAAATCAGTTTTCCTCTTAAATGCCTTTTTACCCTTCTAAATTCTCGCTTTGAAGACTTCGCTGCCTTCACTGATGGGGAAACTGAGGCAGGGGACAAGCTGGGGGGAGGTGCTGCCCTCAGACCTCAACCCCCTCCTTCTCCCAGAGAGGGATACGAGACCCCCCCAGTCAGCATCCCTGCACCCCAAATTGCCTCCCCAGGAGCCACGAGGAGCAGGAAAAAACCCAGGCGTTTCCTTCTGGTGGGAGAAGAGCCCAACCGAGCCCAAGCCCTGAAGCAAAACCTTCCCTCTGAGCAGCAAAACGACGTAAATCTCATTTTTACCCCATTTTTGCCTCCTTCTTTTGCCCCCCCACCCCAACCTCAGCGTGGGGGCTTCGGGTCTGGGACTGGGATGCGGAGCCTCGTGGAGCAGGGATTTCCAACCAGCTGTAAAATTCCCAAAAATCGAGGCCAGAAGGGATAGGTACCAGCAGGATGGTGAAATTTTTTCAAGACAGAAAGGTGGGTTTTGGGGTTTTTTGGGGTTTTTTCCTGATTTTGGAGGAGAGATGGGAGCTCCTAGGCGTTCCTCATCCACGGCGTCCACTCAACTTCCCGCCTGGAAAACCCCACGCCAGGGGCTGGGAGCAGGTGAATCCTGATGGAAAACTCCTTTATTGGCCCAAATCACCTCCCAAAGGTTTGGGAAAAGGCACTTCCAGGGCCGATTAGAAGTTCACCAAGCAAACGAAGGGGGTTGCGATGAGCCCCCCATGTGGCTGGGGGGGGGGATCCCAGCGGGAAAGGAGCCGGCTCAGGAAGGGAATTTTGCATCCCTGGGGAAAATGGAGTTGCTGGATGTAAGAGGAGCATCCCAGCTGGGATTATCTCCCTCTGGAGACCCCAAAGTGCACGGGAGCAGGAGACGATGAGGTCGTTCGGCTTCGATTTCGCCCCCGATTGTGGAAAACACCCCAATTCCCACCAAAACCAACCTCCTCTAATCGCTCCCGAGGCAAAGGAGAGGATCCCGAAACCTGCTTGGAAAAAGGGGCAAAAACCCCAAACCAGTCGATTCCTGCCCACTTCGGTGGTTGAATTCCCCTTATTTTGCAGAATCCTCTTTGCACCAGTAAAAAACCAAGAGTTTTACGCCGGCCACGGTGGGTTTTTCGCACTTTCGGTGACTTTTGGCCCCTAAAATGCCTCCATCGTGCCCCCGTGGGAAGGAGGAGGGGTGGGATCTGGGGGTGCTGCGTCCCC